CTGCTGACTACCATTCCAGTTGGAAACTCCCAATTAACAGCATAACAAGCCCAGAAAAGACTTCCTCATTAATAACCAGTAATGACAGCCAGGGAGTTAAACTGGTTCCCGGAGGCTCCAGGAACCCACGAGTTTCCCAGAATCACTATATTTTTGCCTGCTAACATTTTTCCTTATGAAAGGTAAATAATCTCGCATAAGAATATACAAGATGAAATTTCAAGTGAATTATACATTGTGGCATTTGTCTTTCTTCTACACAGGCACAGTAATGTCTTGTGGGAATAATTTGCATCAGAAATTCTGCATTTACAAAATTATCTTTAGAAAACTTGACTGGACATATTTATGAAGTAGGTGCAGTGACTGAGCCCTCAGCATTTTCATTTGCACATGCCAGATTTGCATATATGACTGAAGTGAATAAAAAGCCAGATAGATACTCAGTCCAAAAATTATATTCTATGCGTGAAAGTGTTGCCTTAGGAAGGCACAGGAGAATTACAAGTATTTTGCTACAATGACTGTCTAAGGGGTTATTTCGAGGGGAAAAAAAATCCCCACTTAAAAATAGGTCTCAAATTTTCTAGTTCATTTCTTTGCTTGACTGAACTCTGAAAGATTTAGTTCCCTAATTATGCCGACACAATGGCCTAACTTGTTGAGTTGCGAAAGCTTGCTGTTATTCTTAATCAGCATCTCTAATTCAGCCTGTGACAATGAGAGGAAACAGAAAACGATTCACAGTTTCTGCCACTAAAACCAATTATTTCCCACACATCTTGTACTCAAAGCGGTGAGACCCCAAACACTTTACCATCAGAATAACTTTTTTCCGGCAGCTACTGTTAATCGCCAGGCAGGGGGAGGCTCGACAGAGGTGCTGGCTATTGGTGTAGCGTAAGCCCATTTCTGGGCTGTGAGAGGAGAGGTTCTCTGCTAATGGGACAACAAAACCCACTCTGCAGGGGAGAGGCTTAAAGTCTTCAGATCAGAGTCGTCCTTGGCGTAACTTAGGAAGACTCAAGTTACATCAGCATTGACTTGGATCACAGAATAGATGCTTTCTTCTTTCATTGTTGATGATTTATCTGAATTTACATTTTTATAAATAATAGCAGATTTTTCCTTCTGAGCTTTCTCTCAAACCTCAGCTAATATATAAACTTGCTTTGCTCTGCCTTCCACCTCCTGCATTTTCTTGTTGCATTTCCTAGTAGCATTTTCTATCATCTTCAATGACAGCATTAGCTTCCTTTCTTAGAGGAAGTCAGAGGAGCTCACAAGATCAATGATGGCATAAAAGGAGCCATGTTTCAAATTAAAAAAGAAAAAAATCACCTGCTTTCAATTTTTTTTTTTCCATTCTAATACTCAGATCTCACATTTTTGGAAAAGCCACATATTGCAAAGCCAGAGACAATTCCCACTCTGACACTTACAGTGCATATATTAGTAATATCTTCATTTTTAAAAAATCAAAAATGGATATAAAATGCCTCTGCTTCTCCTGAGTGCAAAAGAGCTTCTCTAGCTGGGTACACATCAGGCTGATGCAGCTTGCTGGTCCAGTGATGCTGAACAGTGCTATCAAGCATCACTTAGCCCAAAAACAAGCTGCAGGGCTGGTTTTGGTTTCATCTGAACACCTCCTCGGCTCACGCTCTGTGCCCAGCTCTTATGTCAGGCAGCAGAGAGCAGCAGCATGCCTAACTTTACAATTTTACCAGTTCTCAGAAATAACTGGAGAAATCTGGGAGAGAAGGGAGCAATGCATCTTCTCCCTTCTGACTCCACATATGCTGTTGGTCCCCAAACTCAACCACCAGCTCCCCTCAGTCTGAGGGGCACAGAGGAGTCTCGTGCCTTCCTGCTGCCCATGCTCTTCTGCAAAGCTGTTGGATGGTGTGATCTGCATGATGACTGTGTGATTATATTAACCAAAACCTGAAGCTGTACGCCTAGCTTCTCTCGAATCAGCCTAAAGAGAAACTCAGAGGTCTGAATTTGTGCCAGTGTAACAAACAAAAGGAGTACACAGACCAAGGTAGCTGTGAACTCCACTGTTTTCCTGCATCATTTCCTTGTCTTTCTTGCAAGTGCTGAAGAGTGACATTGGGTGTATGAGCAAAGTTGATTACTACCTTATGCATGTGGCTTTGCATCTGATGCCACTTCCACCCAGCTGCTCACCAGCCCCTGTGTTAGAAGTCTCCTGGTTTTGTCTCACTTTCCACTTTCTTCAGATCCACTAAATTTCTATCTAATCTCTCAGAACTTCTTGATATTTTCGACCTTTTGCAAGCGCTCAATCTCTGTTCCGCTTTGGGGGGAAACTCCACTGCAAAAAAATCCCTTCTGCTCCACCTACCTCGCCTGGACCAGCTTCCCCATTCTGCTATTCCCAAAACATCCCTTCTGAAATGTAAGCTACTAAGTCTGGTCTTATATATGAAACATGTGATGTTGCACATGTTGGAACATCTAATGACAAAGCAACTCCAAAAATAATTACAACATCCTAGCTTGTTGGCTTCTTGAAGGTTTTTAAGCTGCCATTATCCACGGACTTCCTCTTGGCTTGTCCTCCTGTGAGTGACAACATGTGCAAGCAGAGAGTTCATTAACAGTCAGGATGTTTGAGGGTGGTGCTCCCTGTGCAAAGCATATTTAATTTTATCAGCTAATTAAGCTATTTTTAATCACAAAGCACTCTTTGAAGAGCATGCGAGAGCTGAAAGATGGATGGCTCGATATAAAGGCAACTATTTCTATTTTGAAGCCTCTCCTGAGAAGACAAAAATTATTCTCAGGCTGAAACGCTGTATTCCAGCATTTACCGTCTCTCTTGTCAGTAGAAGCACCGTGGGAGACAGAAGAGCAAAAATTAAGTTAGAGATAATACACAGGAAGCCAATGTTATGTTAGTTATAAAACAGCCAGTACTTTCAGTGACAAGCTTGGAAACTAGAAAGGAAATACTGCAATACTAAAGTATGCAGAGCATGTTATGCCTATATTCTGTTTTCCCCCTTTACAAAATAACATTAAGTACAGAATTATCATCAAGAAATGGCAGGAGCTAGATGCCAAATGGGCAGACTGCTTCACAGATCAGTGAAGAAGAACATTCCTGTCTCCCTCAGAAGATAGAACTGTCCTGATCTCGGAAAGACATTTGTATATGTACACGTATATGTAAATAGCATCTTTATGGTTTATAGAAAAAGCCCAAATGGGAGAAAATTATCCTCCTTATCTGTGCTGAAGAGGGAACACATTAGTACAGACTGAAAACCAAGAAAATAAAGCTGGTCTCTTCCCAGCTCTATTCAGACCAGCAGTCTGCTCCTCAGTGCTCAAATTAGGTACTTCTTGTGAACCCTCAGGAAGGCTGGAGCTCAGCAATTTCAAACCTAGCTCAGGCACCTGCTGGGTGGCAGAATAAATACTGGCTGTCCTGGAATCTCCCCATGCCAAAAAAGCTCTAACCCAAAACAACTGAAGTAAACACAACCTAATCCTCTTGCATTGTGAAGGTGCAGAACAAAACATTTATACTGTCATTCTTTTTTGGTTTGATAATCTTTTAACAACTGTGATTTTATCTTTACTAACGGATGTAACCTGTGGTAAAGTGATTTGCATCTTTCACTTTTTCTAGAATAGTTGACATAGAAGTTTGTAGCTCCATTGTCTGAAAAAAAAATCAGCATAATACGTACAGAGCTTTATTTTTATGGTTTTTCAGTTGTCTGACACTGTCTTACTCTATGAGACATTTGATTCTTTTCAAGACATCTTTAGTTAGGCAGCTTTAAGACCTTGATTTTAGTTCATAGACAAGTATGTGTCATAGAAACCAATACGAAATTAGCTTAAGGCAACACTGTTAACAGCATGGCTCATTGGTCAGAATTGGTGCTGATGCTACTGCCAGCTCAGTGTTTTGTCTTACAAAGGGAAACCCCAGCATCACAGAGCTATCCATTCGCATCTGCACTTCTCAGAATCCCATCTTGGTAAATCTACCCAAATTACCATTTTGCGTGATGCCACAGAAGTCAACTACACGGGAGACACCTTTCAAAATACTAGATATGCCTGTTCTTTGGATAGGGGAAGGGTTTTTTTGGCAAGACTATGACCTAATTTTGGTAACTGTGGGTTTTTTTCTGTTGTCCTCCTTTAGTTGCTTGAGGGTCTGGATGACATCCTGGTATTTACCAGGAGTCAGAGGTGAAATTCACACTGGTGAGTATGAAGGCAGAATTTCCTTTCCAAAGCTATAATTTCCACACTTTTCTGCTCAGGAGCTTACAAGTCTTGTTTGGCACCATCGACTCACTCAGCACACTATTAAGGGCAAGAAGCCCAGTCTTTAACACTTATTTAACAGGGGTCAAATAAAGCATTAGCAGGCAAACTGCTGGCTCACCACCTGGACAGAAGCATGCTTTTTCTCTCACATTGATTCTGCTTCTTGTACTTTGCCTGACAAATTTGGAATAGGACTATTCTTTAATAACTGGACATCCACGCTGCGTGCAGCAGCTTCAGACTGTGTATCTCTATATCTGTACCAAAGAAGGAGCACTTTTAGAACCCATGTAGCTAGTGGGTTGTTTCTGCTCTCCACTGCATGTGGTGTGATTGACAAAGGTTGTGTCATGTGCTTTACCACAAGTGCACATATACCACATAGACTCTTCTGAGAGTTAAAGCATCACACACCAAGGGCAAGAACTGTGTTATCCTCTCTGAATTTCATTTTGCCTACCATACTTAAATATTAGTAGTATTTTACAGAGGATGCCACCTATTGCCTAGAGGTCAGAATAGTCAGAAGCTCCCACTACACCATCAGCAGAATAGGGACCTCACTTCCCTGACAGCTGGATGCCTTTACCAGCAACCCAGGGTCGTGGTCCATCTCTTTCTGTGAGCAACTTTCAAGGTCAGGCACGGGCTGGGCTGGAGATTTTGAGACTATACATTTGCATTTAAACACCTGGAGTCAACATCTTGTTTACTTTCCACCCCACAAGAGGCTGCCTTAAGCTAATCTTAGACGTCTAAAAAACTAGAAGTCTAAGTTTGAGCCGGTAACTTTATGCTCCTACTGTAGTTAATAAAGAGGAAGGTTATCAGGAAGCTATCAGACATCCAAGACAGGTTGAGCGTTCCTCTGTGGGTGCCCGTTTCTTCCTACCAGCTGCAAAGGGTGACCAGTTCAGACAGACACGGAACTTTTAGATGTATAAACTGGAGCAATGAGTCATGATCAAGATGTCCGCATCCCATCAGCACACACACGCAGACAAAAGCGTGGCTGAGAAACCCCGCAGCTCTCTACAGCGCCAAACTGCAGCTCTCCTGAAACTCACTGCAGATTTTAATAGCTGTCATCCATCCTAAAAATATATTTGCACCGCTTCGTACTACTGTGGCGTGTTGCGTGTTCTTTCCCCGGAGCTCCGGCGAATAGCAGGACCAACCGCTCCTCCTCGGGACACCCTCGGCTGCTCGGTACCTGGCCTGACGAACATATCTCCTTTTCAGTGCGCCCCTTCCCGGGCGGGGGTAATTCCCGCCGGGCCGAGCCCGCCCCTCCAGCTCGGCCCGGCCCGGCCCAGGGGGGAGGGAGGGAGGCCGGGCGAAAGGCGGCCCGGAGCCCGGCGCAGCGGCAGCGGGAGCAGCAGCAGCTCGCACCCCGCCGGCGGCTGCTCAGGCGGCGGGGGCAGGTGCGGGCGCTTCCGCGTCGCGCTGCGAGGAGGAGGAGAAGGAGGAGGAGGTGGCGGCGAGAGCGGGCGGGTGGCGCGGGCAGCGGCCCCGAGCCGGGCCGGCGTGCCCGTGGGCGTGCTCCCCGGCGGGGAGGACCGCCCGCCGCCCACATCCCCGCCGCCGCCGCCGATAACTTTGCCTCTCTGCAAAAAGCCGCCCTCCGGCAGCCAGAGTCGGCGGAGCACCGGCGGTCCGAGCCGCCCGCCGCAATGAAGGGCCGGCGGCGGTGGCGGGGCGAACACCGTCGCTTCGCCGCGGTGCTGGTGCTGTACACGCTGCTGCTGCTCCTTCTGGTGCCCTACGCTCTGGACTACGGGGCCAGGCGCGGGCGGACGGACGAGGAGCCGCTGCTGCGGCGCTGCCCCAGCCTGGAGGAGGCGCTGAGCGAGTGGGGCTGGGAACAGCGGCCGCCGCTGGACGAGGAAGAGGAGGAGGAAGATGAGGCGGGCACGGCCGGGGCGGCGGGGAACGGCAGCGCCGGGGCGACGGAGAAGCGGCACATTTACCTGCACGCTACCTGGCGCACGGGCTCCTCCTTCCTAGGGGAGCTCTTCAACCAGCACCCCGACGTTTTCTACCTCTACGAGCCCATGTGGCACCTGTGGCAGGCGCTCTACCCCGGGGACGCACTGAGCCTGCAGGGTGCCCTCCGCGACATGCTGCGCGCCCTCTTCCGATGCGACTTCTCCGTCCTGCGCCTCTACGCCGCCCCGCCCGCCCCCCGCGACCCGCTGGCCCCCGCCCCGCCCGCCGCCGACAACCTCACCACGGCCAGCATCTTCGGCTGGCGGACCAACAAGGTGATCTGCTCGCCGCCGCTCTGCCCCGCCGCCCCGCGGCCCCGCGGGGAGATCGGCCTCGTCGACGGCGCCGCCTGCGAGGAGAAGTGCCCGCCGCGGGCGCTGCGGGAGCTGGAGGCCGAGTGCCGCAAGTACCCGGTGGTGGTCATCAAGGACGTGCGGCTGCTGGAGCTGGGCGCGCTGCTGCCGCTGCTGCGGGAGCCGGGCCTCAACCTGCGGGTGGTGCAGCTTTTCCGCGACCCCCGCGCCGTCCACAACTCCCGCCTGAAGGCGCGGCAGGCGCTGCTGCGGGAGAGCGTCCAGGTGCTGCGGAGCCGCCACCGCGCCGAGCCGCGGGGGTCGCCCCGCCACCAGCAGCAGCATCTCCTGCTGCCGCCCGGGCTGCTGGGCGGCGGGCGGGCGTCGCAGCCGCAGCACCGGGCCGAGTTCTTCCTCGGCGGCGCGCTGGAGGTGATCTGCCAGGCTTGGCTCCGCGACCTGCTCCTGGCCCGCCGCGCTCCGGGCTGGCTCCGCCGCCGCTACACGCAGCTGCGCTACGAGGACCTGGTGCGGGAGCCCCGCGCCGAGCTGCGCCGCCTGCTGCGCTTCGCCGGGCTCACGGTGCCGCCCGCCCTGGAGGACTTCGTGCTCAACATGACCCGCGGAGCCGCCTACTCCTCCGACCGACCCTTCCTCATCTCCGCCCGCGACGCGCGGGAGGCCGTGCACGCCTGGCGGGAGCGCCTCAGCCGCCAGCAGGTGCGGCAGGTGGAGGCGGCGTGCGGCGAGGCCATGAGCATCCTCGCCTACCCCCTCAGCGGCGGCGACGCCCGGTAGCGCCCGCGCCCCGCGTCCCGGACGGGCCCGAGGGCAGGCGGGTGCTGTCGGGCAGAGCTGAGCGCGGGGGTTCACTGCTGGCACGGTGGGCGCTCCCTGGGGGCAGCCCCGGCTGAGGGACACCTGCCTTGCCTCGGGTGCAGGCAGCGCGGCAGGGTCCAGGCCCCCCCGCCCCGCTGTAGCTTCAGTGGGGCTGTGCAGGGCAAGGGGGGATGATTTATTTAAAAGAAGGGTTTGGTTTTGATGCCTCCGACTTGGAGGATGCATCAGTCTTGGAGCCATTTCAACTTGAAGCCGTGATCGTGTACAAAGCACAGATGTGCTTCCAAAAAAAAACTGCATCAAAGCTTAAAAATCCCCCAAATGAAGACTCTCAGCAAGGAACTAATAGGGCCTAGAGGGTGCTGCTGTGAGAGCGCTTCTGAGCACTGAAACACTCTCGGCTCTGTCCTTCCGCTATTGAAACACGTACCAAGAGGCTTCTGTGAAGTCGCTGCGGGGGTCAGTGGAGTCCTGGGTGGGCAGGAGGGTGCCTGCTTGGGGCAGGACTCGGGTCTTCTGCTCCCAACCTCCTCTGTGGGCACAGTCTCTTCCCCTGTGGGCTGCTGATGCTGTGGGGATGGGGCGCTTGCTGAGGGACAGGGAACCATGTCCAACTCTGTCCACCATTCTGAGCAGCAGGGTAAGCGGTTGTGCAGAGAGGGTGAGCATTCTCCTGCTTGCATGTTTCAAAGATGTTTGTGGCAGAAATCTTTGCTTTTCTAAAGCAATCTGTAATTCTTTTGAAAGCAGGATATTTTTTAATATGTACTGATACAGTTTGGTGATACTTATGTGAGATACAAGTGACTAATATATTTCTTTGGGACATGTGTAGGGTGACTGTAACTGGAAAACAAATGCTTGGTATTTCCATTTTGTTTTCTCAGTCAGATGAGAGAATCACTTTTCTTCCCTTGCTTCCGGGCTGACATATTGTGCGGTGCACAGGTTCCTCCTGGTCACATCCCTTCCGAACAATAACATCCTCTCAGCTGGCAACGCCTGGACAAAAGCAAATGTTTCCTAAGAGGCAAAGACAAATCAATCATGAAGTTCCTAAATAAAACCTTGTATTAAAAAAGGGAAAAAAGAAAACCCTCAAGTTTTATTTTAGATTTTAAAATTACATTTTCCTGCAAATATCCTTGTATGAGAAGGGTGTGCATGTGTGTGTATCTGTGAGTACCTTTGTTTCTTAATTTCTTAATGTGGTTAGAAGGTTCAGTTGTAATTTAGGGATGACGTTTCCTAAATTCATAGATACTGCTTTTGAGTCCATTACAGTCTGTCAGTGTTTAAACGGCCCCACAAGAGTGTACAGGATTATAGGGATGTTTACATGCAGTCCTCAAATACAACCCGAGAACATGAACTTCAAATTGAGGATAATCCAGGATCAGGAAAGAGGCAGCATTTATATAAAGTGCTGGAAATAAAGGCAGTTCAAAGATGTTATGTTTTCTCGGAGTAAACATTTCAACTGCATTGTAGGTTTTTGTGCTGAGTGTTGCGCTGTAAAGCATGTCCGTAGTTAGGACGAACGTTTATTTTAGCTCCTTTTCTTTCTTGACCTTCCCACCTGAGAGTATGTTGGCACAAGAAGCAGGTTTCTTTCATTTTATAACAGGAAAATGTACTCATAAAAATGTGTTTCAGCAAATCCGTCCATTTTCCAGTAGCGTGCTTCATATGATTCTGCATCCTGCGGTTTCTGTTTGAAGTAAAAATTTCAGGGGCTCATTTTGTGCTGGAACAACCTTGTGTATTATCTAAGGAATATTTCTGTATTTTCTCACAGTGCCTGTGACACCAAATTTGTCTCTGGCTCTTCTAGTGGCATTTAATAATGGTATTTGTGTAGATGGACAATACCTGTATTAATGCCTTGATAACCTGTGTCAGGTAACCTATTTTGGAAAGCTTTTCTGAGACGACACCCAGCCTGGCCTGTACTGACAGGTTTGGGAAAAAAAATAAGATTTTCATGCATGCCAAAAGATGATACGGTACTTATTTTCTTACATTAGATGGGAGATTAAAATCCAGTATATCTTGCTGATTTGTTCTTAGCTAGTTGCAGTCACAGAATTGTAGGATGCAACTGTTAAACATTTGCTTCACCTCAGCAGGGAATCTCATCTCGCTGTTTCGAGTGGTAAATGTCTTTCATACACGTAGTTTCACTTACAATCATTCATCATGATAAAGAAAGAAGTGTGGCCATCTAGCTTAACTTGATTCTTATAGCTGGAAAGAAATGCACTAATTATTCAGTACTTTCTGAAGCAGTTTCCATATCTGAACTATGAAGATGGTGAAGAGTCTAGAGGGGAAGCCACACGAGGAGTGTCAGAGGCCACTTGATTTGATCAGCCTGGAGAAGAAGAGACTGAGGGGAGACCTCATAGCAACTTACCTCTTCCTTCACCAGGGGAAGAAGAGGGGCAGAGATTGATCTCTTCTCTGCGGTGACAAGTTAAATGACATGAGGGAACAGCATGAAGCTGTGTCGTTTGGGGGGGGTTAGGTTGGATATTAGGAAAAGGTTTTTACCCAGAGAGTGGTTGGGCACTGGAACAGGCTCCCCAGGGAAGTGGTCACAGCACCAAGCCTGACAAAGTTCAAGAAGTATTTGGACAATGCTCTCAGGCACACAGTGTGACTTGGGGATGGTCCTGTGAAGGGCCAGGAGTTGGACTTGGATGATCCTTGTGGGTCCATTCCAACTCAGAGTATTCTATGATTCTATGATAGATGCATTTTCTGTATCAAAAATTATTTCTATCAACAAAAGTTGTTCACTAGCACAATTGCTCTTCATTAGTGATTAATATTTTCTTTCACCCTAAGCTGTTCTTGTAGGGTTGTTTTTTCTTAATTTTTGTATAGTGCAAAAAGGGCTCTGTTGGGCAAAGTGTACAAAATATAGCAAGTGCAATTTGTGGTTTGTATTCAGGGCACCTGAGTTCATTAGCAAACTCTTCTAAAAATCCACAGGGGATATCCAAAGCTGAAAAAGGAGTGAGTAGCCCAGAGTGGCATCTTAGAGTAGTATCTGCAAGAGTATATAAGGCTGGATGACAATTAAGCGCTTAATGACTGATGGTGTGACGTGTGCTTCGGTCACTAGAAGGAGGACACTGTCACTGTCCAAGGAGGACAGCTAGGCCTCACCAAAAAAATGCACCCCGTTTTTCTCTTCAGGGTGTTTTGATGACATGAGAAAACATTGTTCAGGATGCTTACAGCATATACTTGTTGGTCCTGAAACTCAGACCTTGAAGGAAAAACAAATGTACTGTCAAATATCAGTGTTGGTACTTACCTGAAAAGACAGAAAAGGTCTGATTAGGATGATCAGCATGAAGTTTCATTGGCAGAGGTCTTTGGAAGTAAGTAGAACTTGCTGTGAAAGCAAGACACCCGTGGTTAGACTGCATTTTGAGAACAGCTGGACATTTATGGCTTGGCCATTTTGAAGTAAAGTCACACTTCTACTAAATGATGTAGGAAACAGAACTCTAATGGTCTTTTAGAGCAGAGGATGGCATGGTAAGCAAAGGAATAGTAAACACATTTTTATAGCCAGCCTGAACTTGGCAAACTTAGAGGGCAGGACTTTGCCATAGAGTTGTAGTAGTTCAGGCTGAGATTTGTGAAACTTACCCACTTGTGCTACATTACATATAATGGGTGAACAACTTTAATGTATTAAAAAGTCATAGTGGGAAATGGGTGCAAAACTGACAACTCCTCACAAGACTTATTTCTGTCACGTTTTTACTTTTAGTTGTCACACATCTACCTTAAGAGAGGTAGAAATTTGAGTACTGTAATTATTCATAAAATGCTGTAATATTTCCACACTGGAATTGTTAATTGCTCTTTTACAACATCATCTGTGGTTTAAATTGTTTCTTTCAAGGAGGCAAACTATGCTGACATACTTTTGGGAAGTGCTGAAAGTCCAGGGCCAAGAAATACTTGGCCTCTGCCTTAATTTTACTCCTTAGAACATTACTGATGGAGTCCTTGTAGATATCCACAGTACATACTTGCATACTTCAGGTGCAATAGAAGTAGTTTAGTATCAGTTGCAGTATTTAACAGAAGTGTTAGAATGGTTGTGGGGTTACTTATTTAACAATTTCAGTATTGCATGGGTCATTTTAGCCCCCACCCTCCCCATCAGCTTGTGCATCAAGAAAAGTCCTGAGTTTCTGCATTAAGTTCTCAATATCACCACTTTCAGTAAAGACCAATGATAGGAAATATGTGCAGAGTTTCTGGGTTTGTTATGGTAGTGCAAATAAACAAGTAAAGCCCTGAGAGCCAGCAAGCCCAACAGCATGTTCTGTTCCTTTCTTGAACACAAAGAGCTGTCGCTGAGACTCTCTGATGGTGCATGTCATTTTTCAGAGTCACTATACAGTCCGTGCAGCACTGGGACTACCTTAGGTGTTATTTTGTCATTCCTATTTAACTTGACACGACACCTACTGCCATGGAGAATGATACAGGAAAAGTACAATTGTCAGACTTCTCACTAGCAGTTTTCAACACCCCATTGGTGGTGTGTGTGTGTGAGAGGAGAGGGTCCAGATTGTCCTTGGCTGTGATTTAAAGAGATGAATGTTAGATCCAAACTCGTTGAGGTGGTGGGTTTCAGCAATGAAGGGACCAGTTGTTTGTTGCTGAGGCATATCTCTGGCAGTCTTAGCTCTGGACAACAAGTTGGAAGCAGATTTTAATGTTTTAGGACTTGGAATCTGTCTAGGTATTAAGTACTGGGAAATTCTTGCTTCCAGCACCGAGGTGTTAAGCTCTGCTGCTAACCTACGGCACCATTTCTTGGTGTTAAATGGGAATTCAGGCCTTCCCTGGCATTTCCAAACTTATTGCCCTAACTGTCCAGCTTCACCTGTACATAGGCTGAAGCTTTTTGTCATGGGCTTAAGGTTCAAGGCTCTTTAAGGGAATTTCAGTTGAAATAGTACATATTCTTTTGGACTTAAGATGCGTCTAGCATGTGGTGGCCTTTTGTCTGTGTTCAAATACTCCTGAAGATACTTCTTTCAAATCATTTGTCACTTCAGTGCTTTGGGACAGGAACTCCAGTTTGGGTAGGGGAAATGATCTCTGTGTAGAGGATGTTTGTTTTGGTTTGGGGTTTTTTTCTTTTTTTTTTTTACCTCTGCCTTCTATTCTGATTTGGCCAAATATATTAATGTTCGTATAAAATGGATAGCATGTGTTCAGTAAAAGTGGTTTTGGTATGTGTGTA